TTTAACCATAATGCAGATAATAGAGGGCAATAAATTCGTGACTTACATACTTACTGGAGTGATTTGAGAAGGAAAATAAGCATGTAAATAAAGGGAAGCCAGGAGAGAGAATTTATGATGACTCAGAAGTTACAGGACAGGGCCAGGCGCAGTGGCTGATGCCTGTAATCCCAGCATTTTGGGAGGCTGAAGCAGTGGATCACTTGAGGTCAGGGGTTCGAGACCACCCTGGCCAACATGGCAAAAACCCGTCTCTACTAAAAATACAAAAATTAGCCAGGCATGGTGGCAGGTGCCTGTAATCTCAGCTACTCAGGAGGCTGAGGCAGGAGAATCACTTGAACCTGGGAGGCATCGGGTCACTGTACTCCAGCCTGGGCGACAAAAGCAAAACTCCGTCTCAAAAAAAAAAAAAAAAAAAAAAAAAAAAGTTACATGACAGGCTTAAAATATCAGTGGTTTTGGGAAATGACTAAATAGCTTCCTGGATAGCAGATCTTTGCTAGAAGGGTCAGATCTGGCTCTGGAAGGTGAAGTTGGATGTTTATATTCTACCAGGCCTGATATTAGGAGTCCCTCAGGTGGGACCCACCCAACTTATGTGTTTCCAGGTCAGTTTTGCTTCATGATGCAAAAGTGCCATGTGCTTGTCATGATGCAAAAGTGCCTGTTTTGCTTCATGATGCAAAAGTGCCATGCGCTTTTGCCATGATGCAAAAGTGCCATGATGCAAAAGTGCCATTTGCTTCATCCATGGGGATGAGGACACACCAGAGCCCAGAGGCCTAGGCCTTGCCCACAGTCACACTTCACACCCCCAGATGCCCCCGAGGAAAATCAGGAGCCCAGTTCCCTGCATCACTCTCTTGCAAGGATATTTCCTGGATTTGCCTGCCTCCCTTACTCTCCTGGTCCCAGTCAGCCCTGGTTTTTGTTTAATTTGTGTATTTCGAAGCACACATGTCTCTAGGGAAAAAAAAATGAACTCTAGAACTCCTCCTGGCCACCCGTTTCCTGAAGCATGAAAAGGAAACATTTCATAAATGCTTTGTAAAGAAGACAACAGGAAGGGGTAGTGTCACTGGCTGGCAAGAGCTGCTGTTGTGGTATTTCACAGACAAGGGAGGTGACGTGGCACATGGGGGTTGAGGTCCCAGCCAGGGGCCGAACAGGTAGACTCCTCAGGACCCAGGCCTCCCTCTGGCCTGTGGACCTTCAGCCCTACTGGACAGGAGGAAAAGGCCTAGGGGACATTGCCCCCATTTCCCAGAGAGGAGGCTGAATCCAGTGAAGTGGAGAGTTGCAGCTTCAGTGGGGAGACACCGTTATGCCCCGCCTGTCTTATTCATGCTTCTTTTCCTGTAGGGATTTTTTTTTTACATGGCTACCCTTGAGTGATAGAGCCTTCATCAGCTTAGCTTGTCCTCTTGCAGCCTACGCCACTCTGTACCCTTTAGCCAAGCAAGCCCAGCTGAGGCCCCGCAGCGTCCCTGCCCAGCAGAGCTACAGGAGGCCCCAGGCCCCTTCCTGTTCACTCTTGCTCCGTAGACGCCACGCTGCAAAGCAGATGTGCAGGGACACCACCTGAAGATCTAGCCTGCAGCTCAGCCCCACACACTGTGGATGGTGGAGATCCCAGAGGGCCAAGGGAAGCTTGTTGAGACCTCTCTGCACTGCCCCTCCCACAGCAGGAGGTTCATGGCCCATGCATTTCTGGGAGAGTTGAGAGGGCCCAGGTGGGTGGAATACCTGTCTGTAAGCCCCATGTCCTGCCTTGTCCCAGCTGCCTGTAGTTTGACCAGAGTATGCTAGAGGTCAGCCATTGCTAGGGAGGCTGCCACTAACCCCACAAAAAGGAAGGAATATTCTCAGCCACAGCACTTAGAGCTGAGCCTGACGTGGTCCTCAGCAAGATGTTGCAAGTTCCTAATCTGAACACAGAGGCCAGGGAGTAAGCATCATCTGGAGCCCAGAACTGACTGTCATTACCCACAAACATAAACACCCTGAGTCAGGCCTTCTCCCCACCCTGCTGGGGTTGTCCGAGCCTCAGCACTGGCTCTGCCCTGGGTGGCAGCCCCTGGGAAGCCCAGCTGCCACCTCTCTACAAATGGCCCTGTAGAAGCTGCGCTCAGTGATCCACTTCCTGGGGTGGGGTCGGGCCCACCTTGTTGCCATTACACCCCGTTACAAACTGACGCAACCAGCTTTCAACAGACACTGCCAAGGAACATACACATTACAACAGCATGCTGCAATACCTCTGCCCGTGCAAGACACCAGCCCACATCCAAAAAATGGACATCTTCCCACCCCACTGTCTCACTCTACTGAGCTGGAAGTGGCCTTTGTCAGGACCCTTTGAGTTCTTGAGTGGATCTACTTTTCCCAAGATATTAAACCAGTGACTTTCAATCCTGGCTGTACATTACTGTCATCTGGGATATTAAAAAATATTGATGCCTGGATCTTGCTCCCACCCAAAAGAATCTGACTGGATTGATGTGGGTTTCAAAAATTTTTTAAGTGTTTGTTAAAGGATGACATATATGCAAAAAAAAAAAAAAAAAAAAAAAAGCACAAACCATAAGTGTAATGCTCAGTGAATTTTCACAAATGAATTGACCCCGAGTAACCAGCATCCAAATCATGAAACTGCTTACTACTTGGCTCCAAAGGCTAACGTCCATTCTGGTTTCTAATGGTATGGAATCATTTCTCCTGTTTTCAAACTTTATATGATGTAAATGGAATCATGCAGTATATATCCTCTTGTTATGTTCGTGAAATGATTCATCCAAGTTGTTACTTAGAGCTGCAGTTTATTCACTCTTCTTGCTATAGGGTATTCCACTCTATGGATATTCCTCAATTTCTCTATCCATTCTACTGTGATGGATTTTTGGATATTCAAGTTGTTATTTACAGTTCAGAACTATTATGACTATTGCAATGACATGCTAGTGTGTATTTTTGGAGCACATTTATATCCATTGCTGGGCAAGCATGGATATGAGTATGTTCAGCTTTAGTACCTGTGCCAAATAATGTTCCCAGGTGGCTGTACCCATTTACATTCCCTCCAGCAATGTATGAGAGTTCTGGTTGCTTCACATTTTTGCCAGCCATTGATATTTTCTATCTTTTTCATGTTAGCCATTCTGGCAGGTATGTAGTGATATCACAATGTGGTTTGAATTTGCATTTCCCTGATGACTAATACAGCTGAGCAACTTTTCATATGTTTGTTAGCCGTTTAGATCTTCTCTTTGAAAAGTGCTTGTTGGAATATTTGGACATGAGTATTTTTTAAAAGCTCCTTAGGTAACTCTACTCTGTAGCCAGGGTGGAAAACCACTGAACTAAAACCACAAATTAGTATCTGTGGCTCCCTTTCTTCATGCTTTGCCCTTGAACTTAGAGCATTTTGGATCTGAGAGGACCTCATGGAACTGGGAAAAGATTATCTTCACTCCTTACTAAGATGAGACTATCAGGAAGAAGCAAGAGATTGGAGCTGGCAGTTAAGAATCTTTAGGAATGTGACCTCTGCTTCAGAAGGGCCCAGGGAGGGCCTGTGGCGTCCACAGCTGCCACAGACATTTCCTAGCCACAAAAATGGCCTCTTGGTGGTCTCCCCAGAGCTCCAGGCAGTCATGGGGAGGAAGCGGAGGACCCCATGCCAGGTACTTCCCAGTTTCTAGGCCAACATGAATGGGACACAGTTCATATGGGGTTGTGGTTAGACTAGGGATAGTGGAGCATGTGTTCTGGGGACCTGGGTGTGGCCAAGGGAGGCCTGCTGTCTGTGGCGTTTGTCCCAGATAGGAAATCAGCCAGTGGGGCTCTCCTACATGGGTCCAGGCCTGGCTAGCTCTTGAGTTCTGTGGGTTTGTATGTGGGTCCTTACACATGCATCCTAGAGCAGGGTCCCAGGGGGCCACCCCACCCCTCCTTGACCCCTCACTCTGAACTGGGAAACACATGGCATGAAAGAACATACTGTGGCTTCTAACGGCATTGTGTCTTGATTGCATCCCCATTGCAACGTCTGGGCTCATCTCATCCCCACCTCTGGACTGTAACATCATCCCAGGGACTGCCAGATACTCCTCTGTGCTCCCCTACAGCGAGTATAATGCCATTTGGTAATTCAGTACAGCCTCTTCCAACTTGAGAAGGAAGATGCAATAAAAAAAACAGACCACACATGGAGTCAGCATGTCCTTCCCTCAGTCTTGAGCTGTGCAGGTGTCACGCTGAGCTGCCCCGTGTGGGCTCCATGTTGGCACACATCAGTTGCAAGGGGCTCTGTGCAGTGAGTCTGGAGTTGGACCACTGGCCGGGGGCTGGGATGCTAGTGCCTGGACTGAGTGTGCACAGAGGCCCCTCAGGCAGAGCCACAGTGGGCGCTGAACCTCCTGGTGGAGTTCACCGCAGTAACCAGAGCTCAGTGGGAGGGGCTGGCCTATCAACACCTGTCATGTGTGCTTTTTGAAAAGAACAGGGTCTACCTTCTGTCAACTGAAGTCCTGCCAGCTGCATGGCATGAGATGAAGGACAAGGTGGCACATGAGCAAAGTTGACATTTTGGAGGCTGTTAGGCTCAGAGCCAACCCTGGGCTCCGTGTAGTGCCATGACTCATGGATTCAGGCCCATCTTGGAAATTGCTCTGGGCATAGAGCACTCATTTCTGATAGTCCAAGCGCAGATATTAGGATTCCCCTAATTGGCTCAAATGGTGGCCTGCACCAACCAGCGACCAGAGTGCTGTCTGAATCTGGAATAACAGGAAGAACATGCCTCCAGCAGTGTAGGAGAGTTCCCCATGCAGTGTACTTCCCATTCATACAGCAGTTGGTATCGTCTGTCTTTTTCACATTGGCCATCTGAGTCTCATAAACAGACTCCTCTCCTTCCACTGAGCCTGCATCCCAGCCTTTCCCCTTTCTTCAGGGGCCTCTCCCCAGCAATTACGCCCTTCCATTCTCTCAACCAGGGAATCTTCAAACTCTTCTTCTTCACTGGCTCCTGCCGTGCTCCTGTGTCCATCACCTGTGTAATGATTCCTGCTATCCTGCCTTCCCCGTGGAGTACAGCCATGCTGTCTGCTTCTCACAGCCAAGATTCTGGAAAGAAATGTCTCCTTTTTCCTCATCATCGACCACTCATTTATTCAGCAAGTGTTTCTTTTACACTTGCCTGTGCTGGGCATGGCAGCAATGCAGCAGTGAACAAAACCACCAGCTCTGGTCTCATACAGCTTATAATCAAATAGGGAGACAGACATAAATGATTAATAGATGCTCCCATAATGGCGGTTGTGAGGTGTGCAGCTACACATGCCAGTTCCCTTCTCTGCACATGTACATGTCTGCTCGTCCTTCCCACCTGAACTCACGTGCCACCTCACTTATGCCCCTTCCCAATGCCACACCCACACAACAGGGTGCTTCTCTGTGCCCATAGCAGCCCTTGGGTGTAACTGCTCCCCACAGAGGCTGAACCCCGAGGGCAGAGTCCAGGCCACACGCACCTCGGAGCCCCCTGCCTGGCACAGAGCCCAGCCCAGCAGAGGTGCTCAGAAGATGAATGAAAATCCCTGCTGAGATTGATCCAATCTGTCTGTGAACATCTCCAGGGTCCAAGAATTCACGGCTTTCTTTTTCTTTAGATAGCCTTTTGTTTCTTTTTGCCATTATACACTATATTTGCGTTAGGACACAACAATGTGAATATACTTAATACTGAACTCTACACTTGAAAATGGTTAAGATGGTGACGTTTTAAGTTATCTGTATTTTGCCATAATTTTTTAACATGTAGAGAATAGGTATAAAGAAGAGAAAAAAGGGGGCAAGATCCATTTTATTGAGAAAGAACAAAGGGCGTGATTCAGATGGATTTTAAAACGTAATTTAGATTAGGGAAATGCAAATGAGAACCATAAGTAAGACACCACTTCATATCTTTTAGGATGGCTATTTTAAAACAACGATGACCTGAAAATAAGTGTTGGCAAGGAGGTGAAGAAATAGTACCTTTGTGCATGGCTGGTGGGAACATAAAATCATGCAGCCTCTGTTGAAAACAGGGTGGTGGTTCCTCAAAAACTTAGTTATCGTATGATCCAGCAGTTCCACTTCTAGGAATATACCCAAAAGAATTGAAAGCAGGGACTCGAAGTGATATTTGTACACCAGTGTTTGTATTATTCACAATGGCCAAAAGGTGGAAACAACCCAGATGTCCATGACAAGAGGGCTGGATAAACAAAATATGGAGGATACATACAATGGAACATAATTCAGATTTAAAAAGGAATGAAATTCTGTTACATGTTATAACATAGATGAACCTTAAAAACATTATGCTAAGTGAAATAAGCCAGACACAGAAGGACAAATACCAGATGATGCCACTTATAGGAGGTACCTAGAATAGTGCAATTCATAGAGACAGAAAGTAGAAGGATGGTTGCCAGTGGCTGGAGGGAGGAGGAACAGGGAGATACTGCTTAGCGGATGCAGAGTTTATGTTGAGGGTGATGAAAACGTTCTGGAGATAGGCGGTGGTGATGGCTGCACAACAGTGAGAATGTACTTCATACTACGGAACTCTCACTTAAAAATGATTAAAATAGGCATAGACATTTTATGCCTATTTTGCTATAACAAGAAAGTAACTTGGGTGTATTTTAGAGATTTTAGAAAATATTGTAAGCACAAGAGGAAAAAAATTAAAATCATTCACAGTCACCAGGTAGAGACAGCGACTGTTAAAAGTTCAGTGTGTATCTTTTCATTCTCGTTCTCTCTCAAAAAAGTGTGTGTGTGTGTGTGTGTGTGTGTGTGTGTGTGTGTGTGTGTATGTGTCTTCAGAGGCCACACTGGACTTTCAGGAAAGGTTCCCCTCTCTGCTGCTTCCCTGCTTGGAGCCATTGAGAGCAAGTCTATCCCTGTTCAGAGGTCAATCCTTTGAATGATTTCTCATGGCTGAGTTCACTCCCCTGCACCTCCAGGGTTGCGCTTCTCTGAAAATACCCATTTCTTTTATGTGTCTAAAAACATGGCACCCATGACCCAATAATATGTTGGAAGGGGCTGGAGAGAAAAGCGAGTGCCTCTCACACCTTCTCACACACTACACATCTTAGCGATGGCCTAGCGAGCATGTGGGCTCTCTGGACTCAGTCTGTTGGTCTGGGCTGTGTCAGGCTAAGGCTCCCCACCTCCCCTGCAACCTTGATCCCCTTGCTTCTTGAACCTGATGCTGGGCCTCACATTCTCCCTGTTGATACTAGCTCTTAAATCCTGCTTTTCCAGCTTGTCAGGAAACTGGGCCCTCATGCCCCAAAAAGCAGATCCACACTCTCCACTGAGAGGGAAGGAGTGAAGGTCCCATAGCCTCTGACCCCTGCTGGGCCCAGGAGAGGAACAACTGCTTGCTTTATTTCTCATGGGAGAAGTGTGTCTCCTCTTTGTCTCGGGCACCCCTCTTCCCTGTACAGCAGCAAGTCAGCAGGAATGAGCTGAGCCGCCCAAGTAGTGGCTCCCTCCACTACGGGGGCTCTGTGGTCCTGGGGGCTGTCCTGCCTCCACTGCCATAGGCCTGGCCCCAGAGCATGCTGCAGCAGTCACAACCTATGGAGGTGCCCCCAGGCCCTCATATTGGGGCCCAACTATGGCCTCCTTCCCCAGCTTTGCCACCTGGCTTGGAAGCCAGGGCACCACCAGCTTCGTTGGCAGGGAGAGGTGAAGAAAGAGGCCATGGCCACTCATGTGACTGAAGTTCATATTCATGCACATCAGTTAGAGAAGGACAGTGCATTCATTTACCTCCAAATCCAGCCACAGACACATGGCCCTTTTCTCTTGACTCTGAGGCCTCCACAGAAGGGTTTTTTAAGGTTGCAGCCAGGACCTTTATAGCCCAGTCCTGAGAAGATTATCTTTTTATTGCAACTTTGATTAATGATTGATCAAAAACTGATACTAGAAACACTGAAGAACAAACTTGCTGTAGACATTAGGAAAGGTCTACATCTGGCAGGCCTGGAGACCTGCCCACCCTCTTCCCCCATGGTCAAACCAGGGCAAAGGTGCATTGGAAAACCCAACCCCCACACACTCTTACACATGCACTCATACACAGACACACTGAGGGGAAAGAAAGATTTAATTGTCCTTAAATCCTCTTGGATTAGGCTATAAATTGCAAATAAATGGAGCAACAGACAGAGCAAAGCACATAAGGGCCCTTAATAGAATTTCTCTATCTTGTTCTGTTTCTATGAATGCCTGTTACAAATTAGCAGCTTAAAGGGAAATCTGGAGTGTGGGAAAGAGAGACCCTTGTGTGAAGACCACAGCCTGGGCTTCCTGCAGACCTCAGGTCCCAGAGAACATCTAAGATGCCTCCAACACCAGATGGAAGAGGGCAGGAGATGCTGCACAGTAAAGCAGCTCTTCCTGAGCATTTGTGGCAGGAAGTGACTTGGAGAGGATGAGGCCGTGCCTCAGGTGTGCTCTGGCTGTTCTGATGGTCTCTGGGGCCACGACTGCCACAGTGAGGTCCATAGGCACATCAGAATCACCAAAGGGTCCAAACCTATGGCCTCAGAGCCTGGAGAGCCAGGAATCTGCATTGCAACAACTCCCCGCTCAGGGGTTCTACCAGTCCAGTGCCCGCCCTCTGAGGGCGCCCAGGGAGCAGGGTGCTTGCTGGCTGGAACACTTTTTCCTGCCCCTCAGCTCCTCTGTACTGCCCTGAGGCACAGGCAGTGGAAAGCTGGCAGAGCTGCTTCTAAATTGAAACTGGAAAATGAAACCAGAAATCACAGTTTCATTTTCCAGTTTCACTTGCACCCTCTAGTGTTGGGGTTTCTTTTCCACAAGGAGAGTCCCCCAGGGAAAAAGAAGCAGGGGTGGGAGCGGGGGGGGGCCTTCTGGGGGAAGGCAGTGAGGGTGTCCAGTCTGCAGCCGGGCATGGAGGGGCCGTAGCGCTGCGCTTGCTTCTTCTAAGCCTGGCCTGCTTGCTGTCAGCCCTGGGGGTGGTTTCCTCTCTAGGAAAAGCTAATGTCATGCTTACGCTGAAAAACTCTTTTCAGAGGTACTTTAGGAGGGGCCCTGACTCTCGGTTAATCTGGGCCATTTCATACCGGCTGTGCTCACCCAGGCACAAACATTGAAAGCAACAGCTGGCAAAGGCATCGACTTGTAGCAGCTTGGAAGACACCAGCAAAGAAGCTCTCATGGAAGCGGCAGATTTCCTGAAGCGACTGGAATGTGGGGAAGGAGGGCAGTCAGGGAGAGCCGAGAACCATCCCCCCCCCAATCTCTACCCCATTCCTCTCCTCACCTGAAATGTTTCTTCCTTGGGAACAGCTGCCTAACCCCCTAATCCCACACACTCCTTTGTAGGTTAAGACCCCTGAAGTTGCACCCTCTCATAGCAGCTATGTTTTTCAGAGATCCGTGTGATTATTTGCCTAACGTCTGCCTCCCTCAGGGACGCAAAGTCTGTTACGCGTGAACCTGGTCTGTGTTGTTCACTGTGCGTCCACGGTGCCTGGGGAGTGCCTGTAATGCAGGAAGTACACACAAAAAATATGTGTTCATGAGTGAGGGCAGGCCTGAAGAGCCCAAGAGAAGGACAGTGCTCCAGGGAGGGGTCTGCATTGGGCTCCCCAGTGTCTGGGCTGCATCCCAGCCCCTCCAGGCAACTCAGGGGAGGATTCTGTGGACAGATGCCCCAGATCTTCCACCCATAGCTCCTACCCCCAGCCTGAGGAATGATTTGACTGTCCCCAGTGTGTGCAGGCAATGGGGAGGTGATAGGAGGCGGTGTCCCTTGTGGCACACTCTCCCTAGCCCTGGCTTTGCCCCCCTTACCTACATAGATGGGCTTCACGGCCTCTTCCAGATAGGCAGGGCACTGAGCTCCGTGGGCCACACTTAAAAAGAAAGGCTACTTTTAGCCTGCACATCAGGAGGAGACAAGCTGGCGGTGGGGGCATGACAGTGTTTTTGTTTGTTTGTTTGTTTGTTTGTTTTTTGAGACAGAGTTTCACACTTGTTGCCCAAGCTGGAGTGCAATGGTGCGATCTCGGCTCATCGCAACCTCTGCCTCCCTGGTTCAAGCCATTCTCCTGCCTCACCCTCCCAAGTAGCTGGGATTGCAGGCATGCACCACCACACCCAGCTAATTTTTGTGTTTTTAGTAGAGGCGGGGTCTCTCCATGTTGGTCAGGCTGGTCTCAAACTCCTGACTCCAGGTGATCCACCTGCCTCGGCCTCCCAAAGTGCTGGGATTACAGGTGTGAGCCACCGTGCCCAGCCAACAGTGGTTTTTAAAGGGGGAGAGCAGATGAAGGACCTTGGTGGACCATCCTCTGGGAGGAGATGTGGACTGAGGAATCAACCCTGACCTCAGGCCCCACACCACCCTTTCACCTCAGCCTCACTTTCTCATCGGTAAATGGAACTCGTTCTTGTGTATGTGCCACAGAGGCAATGTAGCAGAAGAGACTAGGGCAGACTTTGGAACTCAGCCATCTAGGAGAAAATTCCAGTTCTGTGATGACCTTGAACCAATGACTGAATTTCTCTTTGTCTCATTTTCTCTTCTGTAAAATGGGAACAATTACAGTGAATTCTGTAAATTCATTCATGTCCCTGACACACGGTGTGAGCTCAGTCATTACCTTTGCCAGAGTTGCGAGGATCTAATGAGTTGGCAGATGTGAACACAGCTCCCAGACCCGAAGGTGCTGTATGAATGGGAGGGAGCAGTGAGTGTTATTTGGGAAATAATGAAGACACAACTTCCCTCCCACATTTGTCTGGGGTGGAGCAACAGTTTTACTTATTTAATGTTAAGCTGGAAGATGCACCAAAGGGAGGTGAAAAACTGAAACCGCCAACCGTTTGAGCTCCAGGCTGCACCGAAGCGGTGTGGCTGGTGCAGATGGTGAGAGCACCAGTGCAGGCCCACTTCCTCCATGAGTGCCACGCACCTTCCTCACGCTAGCCAGCTTCCCAAGGCTGCAGGAAGTGGGGCCAGGAACAGGCCCTCTGGCTGTGTTGGGGGAGGCCTGGGCAGGGGTTGGCAGCTGCTGGGTGTGAACGGAAGCCTTGGAGGTCCTTGCTAGGTCCTAGGGCCGCCTGCATGGCAGCCCCTGCCCTCTCCCTGTCCAGGCCTGCCCAGGACTAGTTTGTAGCAGACTCTTCTTGTAGCCTAGGCTCTTGCCTCTTGCAGTAGTGAGTCCCTGTACAAACGGCATCCAGCGGAG